TGGTCAGGGAGGGGTCGGGTATTATTACAATGGGCCTGGTACTTGGTTGGCACTGTCCCTATGCAGACGCCTTGGCCCTGTACCTGCTGGATAGTTAGTGAGGCCTTAGCCTGCCATCGGCATTCCTGAGGTTTGCTGGTCATTGTATAATTGCCCTCTACTGTAGTGCCCTCGTAAAAAGGGGGTCATGCATCATAACAAAGCCAACATGAAACAGTTAATTCAGGCTTGGAAGCATTCAAAAGCAAGAAAGATTTCTGAAGGAGGGTGTACAGGGGACTCTCATCCGATGGAATCGGAGGGGAGAGGAGCTGTTCTGCAGGTTTCTTAGGTGCAACAGTTAGACCTTTGGCAGAAATCAGGGCAGGTTTGGTTAGACTTGGTGTTATTGTGGGGTTAAGTACTCGGTCGGGTCCCACTGCTACTGTTTCCACTGGTGTGAGGGTACGCTTTATGGTAAAAGTTAGCTGGCCTGACCCTGGGTGTAAATGCAGTCCCCATGTCTTTCCAGTGGTCCAATCTGCCTGCTTACCGGCCTCTGTAAACCGAATGATTAGGGGGTTGCAGTGCCCACCGCGTCTAGCCCCAGCATAAGCGGAAAAGCGTTCTATATCATAGCAATTTCCACAGCGCTGATTTCCACACCACCCAATCCCTGGAATGGACATATCTCCTACCCGCTGTACCGTGATAAAGTCTCCTTTGGTCGGGGGGTCCCAGCTTATTGATCCAGTTGACTCACACCCCCAACTGCCACAGAAAGCGTAGTTTTCTCCTCCGCATTTCTGACGCCGTTCTTTGGTCATAGAGTGGCCAGGACAAACATAAAATTGCAGTTGCCTTGCTTTGGCGCGTCCTCCAGGTGTGTCACATCCTACAGCGAATGCTGAGAGCTCCTTGCCGTTTGGGAGAATGTCAGGTTCGTTTCCAGAAGGTCCCCACATCCGCCCCCCTAGATCACAAAGGTCTGCATATAGATCGGGGAACCAGGTGTCTCGTGGGGCCACAGACGAGATTCTGCTAATTATCCTGTTAGGGTTGGACCCTCCAGAGATGATGATCCAGGTTTGGTTCCAAGGTGTATGGGGATTATCAGGTTGGCTGATCTCCGTGGTGGCACCAGGCAGAAGTAGGAGAGTCAGGTAGAGGCTGATCATTTTTCCTGGCACGGCGTAACTTGAGCCTCAGTGGATTAGAGGGATGTTGAGTAGCTTCCCACGCCTCGCCTTGGTACTCCTCAGGAAGCGCGAAGGGGTCAGCGAGTCGCGCGTGTGACTAAAGTTAGAAAAGTTTAGTTTGGCTTCTGTTTTGCTCAAGGGAAGTCTTAAAAAAGGAACTTTGTATTAAGCTCTTAAAATGTTTTCTTTGTCTTATGTTTTTGACTATTCAGAGAATGAGTTGTCTCCAGAATTCAGTGCTATAGGGTTATAAGAAGTACCACATTCTTTGTTGGGTCAGAATGCTGTATGTTTTATAAAATTGATCATTTTGGCTATCTACTTCAAATCTCTGGCATGTTTTCCTTGGCTTATGTGACCTGTCACATTCTGAAAGTATGAAAACAACCACCATGGTTAGAGTTCACCACATTCTCTGTATTTATAGAAGGATTAAGTTTAGTACCTGACTGCTGTATTATTGGCTTACAATTTTTTGAAGTAATATAATTAGAATTGAATAAATGGGGAGTGGCATATTTAGTGATTGAGCAGGTAGAATCACATGTATGTGTGTGCAATATATATGTATTTACATACACTCGAATTACTGAATTTACATACTGAATTGTGATGACATTGAATTTACTGAATTACTGGCACTGAATTTATGTACAACTTATGATGGACTGTTTATATATGTATGTATACTATTGACTATTATATGTATATATGTATATATATCACAAGTTGTATATAAATTCAGTGCCATTTTGATGGAAAACAACATTTGTGTGAAAAGGGGCCTGTTAGACTGTATTCTGTGCAGAGTGAGTTGCTGGGAACCACCTAAGACAGTCTCTCTGTGTGACTGGGGTTGGGGAGCTTTCCTTAGATGTATTAAAATAACCAGAATCTTACAGGATAAAAATGGTGCCGTGTGACAGAAAAGGATTACAGAATTAAGTCAGTTAATTAGACTAGAAAAGACTCTAGCATTGCAGAAAATTACTGTATGAGAAAGGCTAGATTGCATTTCTCTGAGACAGGGAGATGCACTTGCTTGGTATTTTAGCATGAGTGGAGATTTCAAAGAAAATAGATTAGAGCTCTCCAGATGAAAGATCTAAATGGAAATCCATGGTACTAGAAGAAATTGTAGGTGTCTATCTATAAAATTTTGAAATAGGAAAAAAACTTTCCCAGACCAGGCATGCAGTAGAGAAGAAATAGAATATTGGCATACTTAGATACATCACATTCTTAAAGTTCTAGCTGAATACTCTCTAAATTATGTCTAAGTAATTTGTGACATGTGACATCCAAACATTTGATCCCCACAGTGTTTGAGTGGAGAAGCAGGCATAGTGGAGGGATCCACAAGGACAGTCACAGGCAGTTCATCCTGCAATCATAGAGGATGGATCTGCAAGGACCTTTACACAGTGTTTGAGTGGAGAAGCATGCAGTCATAGTGGAGGGATCTGCAAGGACAGTCCCAGGCAGTTCATCATGCAGTCATAGTGGATGGATCTGCAAGGTAGCTACAGGCAGTTCATAGGAGAGAAGTGTGCATTTCACACTGAACCAGTACAGTGGTCTCCCGTACAGACAGGGAGAGAAGTAAACATCAAAATAACAGTGTGGGAGCGGCTCACCTGTCTGAAGGTGGACTGGGGATGTAGTGTTTACCAGCATGCTTCACACCTCAGTCTTTCTAGGGGATGAGAAGCACAGGTATGTGCAGTCCCAAAATATAGGCATGGTACATAGCATGAGACTGAGAAACAGTTGCACGTCCATTCAAAAATAGATGGAGAAATTGCAGTACTTTGGGACTGCAATATTTCACATTGATTTAAAAAGATGCCTTTGGTAACAAATATTGATTATGAATAATCTTCATAATAAATTAGAAAAAGAACAAATGTCAGACAAATGAGGATGATATCCTCACACTAGAAATTGTTCACTTCCAGAGAATGGTTGGTTTGGAAGGAGAGAAGGGTTCAGTGCTGTCGTTTAACTTTCTTTCTCCCTCCCTCCCTCCCTCCCTCCCTCCCTCCCTCCCTCCCT